GACAAAAGACTAACAGCAACTAATGTGAGAGATCTTTTTAAAGTTCGCGTGTAAAGAAGGTAAAATAGCGCTTAAAGCTTACAGTTTCGCAAAATAATGTCTAAAAATAATGGAAAAAGAAGTTATTAACTAGAACTTTATTAAAAAAATACAAGTCGACAGGGATAAGGTAATTGTTAAATGTTAAAAAAAAAAAAAGGTTTGCTTGCATCGAGTAAAGAAATGTGGGGAAATCATCATTACTGCTATTTTCGATAAATTTCCATGTGCAATATAAAAATGCATGTACGAATGAGTGTATACAAATTATGTAAAGAAATTGTGTATTTGATAGAAAAAAATAATAAATAAAATAACAAAGAAAATATTTAAGAAAAACTCGTATACTAGGAGCCACATAAAGAGAAGTGTGTGTAGGAAAAAATATTTTTTTCCACAAAGCAATGACTAAAAGAGAAAAAAATCGAATAAAAGCCACTCACACATGAATATCTGAATTCGTTTGCAGAAAAGCCCTCATATCAAAAGAATAAAAGAAAAGCTCAAAATTTATTAAAATTTTTGAAGAGTGATTGAAAAATGTCTCTTAACTGAAGCAAGTCGTGAAAGAGAAACCAAAGCATAAGTGGATAAAGCTACCGTTTCTCTTCGTCGCGCGGTTACCAAGCAAAGCGCATAGCATTCGTGTGTGAATATATTAATTTTAAACGTCATTGACGCTTTTGCGAAATAATAAACATTAAGGAGAATGTAAATAAGATAAAATTATGGAAATTTTTATATAAAATACACTTCTTATTACAATATAATTGCGAAATAATATACATTAAGAAAAAGTTGTTAATATTGAAATATTTAAAAAGGGGAGAATTTACAAAAGTAGTGGTTCACTATACCGAAGAAATAAAAAAACAGAAATTTGATGTAGGTAAATTGGAAATTATATCTCACCAAATGGAGTTGTTTTTTTTTAAAGTAAAGAAGAAAAAATTAAATAAATAGAACGAAACGAACACAATCGACCAAAAGAACGATAACAGCAACGGCAGCAGTAACATGACGTGCATCATTGATCGTCAATGAAATTCATAACAAAATTCATTGAACAAACGCTTTAAATTACGCAAAAAAAGGAGGAGGCAACACAACGAAGTGAAGAGGAAAAGGGGTGAATAAGAGGGCGAGAGTGTAAGAAGAAGGAACCAGATGATGTAAGCAGCCACCACCGCAGACACTAGCAACATACAGATTCACGGTCAGGTATTTTTAATTCATTTATTTCCTTATTGTTCTTTTTTCTTGTCCACTATTTACGGAGGAGCCCCGATGTGTGGCTGAGTACAGACTGCCACCGCTGTGGCTGAGGTCAGGTGAGGGAGCGTGCTTGTGATGGCACCGTAGGGAGGACGTCGGACGGTTACAGACGGACTCACGGTGAACAGACGGACGATAGACAACCGACGAGACTTTTTGTATTCTTTGTCATGAGGCTCAGAGAGCCAAACCCCGTTAACAAATACGCTCTACCGGCAACAAAGGGGCTAGTACCGTGACAAACTTACTATATTCGTGCTTAAAGCTATAAAATGAAGTTACACAGTGTTGCATTATAATTTCGCGTGAAAATAACAGGCCTATAGTTTATAATATAAAAACTTTAAGCTTAGTAAGCTTAACCAAAGTTAGTTAATTTTTATTTACATTTTCGTAATAAATCTTTTAGTGTTCGGGACTGTTAAGCAAGTCTATTTCCTTTCAAATTTCATGAATAAACATGTCTATAATACATTTTATAACTTTAAACGCTGTTCACTCGGAAAACGATTGCTCAAAACGTTTGGAGCGTAACTTCAATAATACTGCATCTTCGTATTCGAATTTTTTACAATATCTTTCAAATGACATTCTCTAGTACAATACTGCGGATTTTCGGTAAGTGTATTTATATTCTATTTATTAGCAAACAATGGGCTTTTTTTTTGCTTACAATTGAACTTTTCTATTTAAATACTTTCCGATCATGCCACAGAGCCCTTTAACTTAAATATATTTTGCGAGAATGGCACCGGTGGCTTAAATATCCGGTTAATAAGCTTCTCGAATATTATTATTTTGTTAATTATTCTTTCACCGCAGAAAAATTACCAAAACTACGTGTTTGTTTTATGAACATCAGACTTAGTTCTTTGCGTAAACGTCGCGTATGGCAATATATATGGTTCATTAATGTTGATAACTCCACTCACTACACACAGCCGGCAGTCCGTAACTTTCAACAGCATTTGACGACAAGAAAATTTTCTCCATCAATTCTACTCACACTAACTACATGCTTAGCTGAAAGTTTGTCCAACTGAAAATAAGAAGTAAGGGCATGTCTGGTTAACTGAGACCTTTTTTAACTACGTAGCTGAAAAAAAAGTGATATGCGACAGAAAATTCGTATTGGACTGTTTGTTCCGCTTATGAAACTCTTATTCCCAAATCTGAAAAAATTTGTGATCGGAAAATGACTTTCCCCGAAAATCAAAAGACTTTGGAGCAGTTGTATCAGTCGCAATTCAGTGCTTTAATTATATTTGACTCTTCACATGGTTAGAGAAAAATGCGTCAATCTTTGGGCATTTTCGGAAAGAAAGGAACGAGGTCAATTATATTCGCTCTAGGTCACCGATAGCCTAAAGATTGTAATGTGTTTCACATTCAGGTAAGTGCCGTTGTAGGCAGAAATTATTCCTGTGTAATAATAATGTTTACAATAATAACGAAATCACAAAAGGCGTAAAGCAACGTAGCATAACAAAAAGATCGATAATTTCAAATAACTCTCATCCATTATTGCATAAAATCCAAAATACGGTTTGTTCTTTCACCATTTACTATATAATAAAATCCAACTGGAAATAAATCGTTTTCTAAATTTTAGGTGAAGTTATTGATATTTGAAGCAAAAGTGATGAGTCGGATTGAATATATGTTGCCGTCGATATTTCAAAAACTACAGCAGTTACGGAAAAATCAGATATAGATATTTAAAGATCTTTCCGTATGTATAAAAGTCATCACAAATTTTGAAAGTTTATAAGACCTTTAAGAATTTTTTTGCAGCTATAATGTTCAAGAAGATCAAATTGCAGTTCTCTTGTTCTTTCAATTTGTTTTTTTGTTCTTTTGTTGAATTAGCACTTGTGGTTTTATTTTTTTTTTGAAAGTACTACAAATATATATCATTATATGCTACACCATTTGTCGTACAGGACATATTGTGTGGACGTATGTAAAACGCAGAAGGGCTTAAGATAGACCCACCTTTTATAATTCCCATCGATTCAGAATCGTGATCTGTATTGATCTGAGTCTGTCTTTCCGTCTGTCCATCTGTCTGTCAGATGTCTGGCCATGTAAATTCGTGTTCAAGCTACAGTTCACAATTCTTGCGATATTTTTTAGAAATTTAGTACAGTGATTTATTTTGTGGCAAGAACGAGCGCTATTGAAAATGGTTCGGATCGGTCTACTTTTTCCACTACTCCCCGCATACCACCCTGTTCTGAAAAGTGATTATATGGGGAAAAATTTCAATTTTTCAAGCTTAATAAGGTGAAAAGATCAAATTTCCAATATTTCATGGTGAAAATTAGCTCATAGTAGTAAATTGACGAAGAAATCTACTTTACCAAATTTGGACTACTTAGGTGTATTTTTTGAATGCCGCCGCATATAAGGATCTTCACGAAACATAAACCCTTATATGCCCAAAAAGACTAATTGTTAATTTTTTTGTGATGAAAATTTATTTGTGATAGCAATTAAATAAAAAAATTAAGTGCATCTAATTAGAACCACATGGGTCTGTTTCTTGGCCCCACTCTACATTAGACGTCTCAAGCGTCGTAAGTCCTTTGGAAAAAAGAATTTTCAATATTTTACGATAAAAATTAATTCATAGTAGCATTTCAGGAACAAAATTAACGGTAGTGAATTTGGATCACGTAGGCCGATTTTTTTTGGATCGCAACCTAATAGGAGCTATCACGATACTTAAGTTCTTATATTGAGAGAAAATCTAACCTTCCAATATGAAGACTTTAATGACAATTATGTACTTTTTGGAGCAGTATTACCAAAACTACTATATTATGCCAAGTAGTATAGGGCATATAATAGTCGGCTTTGCCCGATAAAAATTTTATTTTCAATATAAATTAACTTTCTGTTGTTGTTGTGTTCTTTATTTTGTTTAGTTTATTCATGTAAACTCAAAAAAATTTCTTATGTAGCTAGATATATTGGTTAGTTAAGTGTCCACCAAACTGTCTTTGATCTAATGAATAATTATTTTAAATAGCTTATGATTAAGAGATCAAACATGTTTTCCAACAATATAATACGTGCGTACGTGGTGCAAATGAGGTGGTTTCATCGTGTAATTCTAAGTAACTACATCTTAATTATCAAGTAATGCCCCGTTTGTGGTATTTCAAGGATCTTTGCTCGTATATTTTCATGTTTACCTAATAAATGCCGTTTTATGTCAACATAATCAAAACAAAATGATTTTTAATAATTTCGCGACTAGAAACGCTTTTAAAAAATACTTCATTGCTTTTGTGCACACATATTATCCTTCAGTAGGTGTGATATGGCTTTTTTAAAATAGTTATATTTGTTAACTGTGTTCAATGAGGTTTGCGTTTTATGTAAGCCGCAATAAAATTTAGGTTTCACACAAGGTAGTTATCACAATTCTCAAGCGAATTAACTTTCTTAAGGAACTCATCGTCCCACATGGGATTCATTTTCATTTTAATGGTTCAGTGACTCGAAAACGGAAATGAAAATTCCTTTACCGTGAATGGAGGGCGCTATTAATCAATATTAACGTATTTTTTTGTGAAAAGAATGATGTTGACGAAGATGTTGTTTTCAATAATATCTGATTTTAATAAAACTTGGTTATATACTAAACAATCGATTTATTACTTGATAAGGCCCCAAGCAATTTAATATTTTTGGGTGATTTTTTGGAGCCGTTGCTTGTTACTGAAGTCCAAAGTCGAAAAATTGGTATTCGCGAATTAAATACAAATACCGAACAAACTTTCTTTAAAATTTCTTCAGATATTGGTCGTTTGAATGATATTGCGTTGGAAACTAAGTCAAATATATTTAAAAAAGAAAAAAAGTTAGTTTTCCTAAATTCTTCTAGTGTTTTAACTTTGTTTACAACATTTTTATCATTCTTACTGAAAAATAGTATTAACCAGTGATTCATATTGTGAATGTCATTGTGATAACAATATCTCCCGGAAGCTCTAAACTAAATTACTTGTAAATGCTCTGAAGAAATCAGAAAATTTTGCAAAATCGTTTAAAGAGCAGGTGTACTGAATACTAACTAGAATGTGGTCAAAGTAAATCTTCTACAAAAAATGCTTTCACAAAGACTGAATACAAGTCGGATGTGATCTTTCTTCTTTAGCTCTTGCTTATTGGATTACATTTTATTATTTATTGATTTTTCTTTTTATGGTATCATTTATAATATTTAATCATCACACAACTGATGTTTCTTTTATTATTTATTCTTTATTCCAAGAGGAAAGAGAGAAGTTCTCTCGAACTAAATCGGATATACAACAATTATATTTCGATTTATTTCTATATGGTTCACAGGCGGATTTTTGGACAAATTTATTTATTATAAACATTTAGCTTCAACATTTGTAAATAAAATTATGAAGTCACAAGGAAAAGGAAAACATCTTTGGTATTCGCCATTCATGGATGAAACCGTTATATGTTTTGGACTTGTAGAAATGATAAGAAAGTATATTATAACAAAATCTTTCAGACATATCCTTGACATCAAATCCGTGATGTCGACAGAGAAACATTGGAGAAAGGCGATAGAGAGACGTGACCAAATCGATTCCATTATTCAAGCTAATCGTCATTATCTATTATTGCTCTACCTTTTTTCGCGTTACAAGTCTTTAACGAGCTTATACACGAAGTCAAGAGGGCTTTTCTTTTCCTTTCTACATGTAAGAAAAGATTGGAGGGTAGCGTTCAGCCTCCCCAAACGTATTGCGAAAATTGTCTCTTTTTTGATCGCTCGCAATAACACCATTCATTTGAATACCAATTTTTTGGCCAGCGGACGGAGCAATAGAGTGTTGATTCTTTATATGACCGTTCATGAGGCTGACATGATGACTTATAGTTGGCACAACTCCTGGCATATTTTCTTCCAAGTCATGTACTACGGCTTCCGTTTGAATGTTGGCGTCTGCTGAATTCGTTATATTTGTTGCCGGTGCATTACTAAGCTTTTGTATATGAATTCGTATGAATTTTTCAAATTCTCTCTGCACCGAAGGACTATCGGTATCGCCATCAATCTGAAAGGTAATTTACATGTTTAACTTCATTCTTAAAAGGTTAATGTTAGATTTGCTTACAATTTGTAAGCGACTGCTATTATCCATTATTTTTAACATTGGCAAAGTTTGCTCGCGGAACAATTCTAATCGCCTGCGGAATGATGAAACTGTATCATCAATGCGACCGCGTCCCAATTGCAATTTCGAACAATCTAACAGTACCATAGGCGGACGTTGTTTGTACTAAAAAAAGAAAATTTTCGCTAACGGTGAATAAATTTAAAAAAAGTAATAAAGCTTAAACGATTTTAAAACAATGCTTTAAGCTCTAAAGAGGGAAGAGAAAATCCTGTTAAAATTTGGTGAATTATAAGCTACCCTATGAATCGATTAAATACTTTTGAACTTAACATAGACTGGTAGGGATTAGTTTGAGGCCATAGTTGTTCTTCTAAGCAAAATTTCAAGCTACAATCATGACTTCAATACGCAACTAGGCAGGTTATCGAAGCTATGATGCGTTTTCAATTGCTTTACGACAAGTCGACAGTCGACTATCTATTCGTATAAAGCTACATATAAAAAACTCAAGAAATAGACAAAAGCCTATAAATTTTTCATATTTTTTTAAAAAAGAAATACTTCTATATTATGCGTGATCTCTACGGAACATATGGACTGTTTTTCATATGTAAATAACAATTTAAGTAAGGATGTGATATGAAGAAAATAAAGCGCTCATCACATTTTCATACATCATCGTATATAACAGCAATGTCTTAGTTCTTTTAAATCTATTGTATGAGTACCAAACCCAAACTTTTTACATAGCATTTAAAAGCATTTTGTTATCAGTTTTCTCCTTTTAATCAAGGTGCTGTCAGAATTTTAGCATAGCATGGTCTAATTCACATAGTTGGTCCGTTTCTAGGGTTTTACGCATGGTCTTTTCATACCAACACATATTCCTCTAAATTTTTGAAATATGTAAATTTCCATTAGAAACTTGGAGTCGCAGAGTGAATTCATTCTCCTGTAGTGAATTTAAAAGCACACATTTGTGCTTAGTTTATGGAATGAATCTGTTCTCCGAAGACGTTTCCTTGCGCATGGCTTGATTTACTATTATATACGAGGGTTCAAACCTCATGTGGGCTTGACTATTTCTTTAAAACTGTTGTTTACCTTGTCCTCAAAATATTTGACTTGGTGAAGATTTCTTGGAAAACCGTCAATAATAATGCCCGCTTTGTCGGAAAAAAGTCGCAAATTTGTTTCCAATATAGTGTGTATTACTTTTTCCGGCGCCATTTCTCCACCCGCCAACGCCTCTTTAACTGCATAACTTTCTGTATTGGCGCGTGGGGCGGAATCAGTTATGCTACGTAAAAGCCGACCAACACTGAAAAATGTACAAATAAGTGAGAAAATTATTGTATAAGAAGCTATAAAGAAGCTAAGTTCGACTTACGCCGAATTTTTAACATCCACCGCTAGTTTGCTTACAGATTACGGTGAACGTGCGTTCGGTCGATATAGATTGTATATAAAGAATACAGGTCATATATCATATTATCATTTGCAGGTCATTTGTCAAATCATAGCTGAAATTTTACTTAAACCCATGAAGTCATTTGTTTCAATTTGTTTGTCTGCGAATTGAGGATTTGTCTATACGCTGTTTTAAGTAATTTGCCACCTTGAGGGAAACAATAAGAAAATTTTATACCAGTTTGTCCCTCCAGAGATCGTTCTGATATCCTAACTCAAAGGCAACAGACTGACAGCATACAAATAGGTAGGCAAGGTACGACAAGGGTGATATCCCTTTATGGCGTTTCCTATGTTTACTTTGTAAAAATTAAAAAATCTGATGTATCCACTATAGTGGACATAACAGTCAGGAAAGGATATTTATTCAATTTACCTGAAATGAACCCAACCAGAATTTAAAGATATTGCTTTTACACACAAAGATGCCTTATTACTGCCAGGCCCTCCTATAACCCATATAACTGGGGGGATGCCACTTATATTCAAATTATTGATGCGAGCGCCTGCATTCGTCAGGGTGGGTTGTTTCGTTATAACGTTCTTTCCGGTGGTTGCACTCATGGCATTGGCTGCATTGAAGGCAATATGTGAAATTACCGTGTTGGTCACATTGCCTTCGTTATTATTTTCAGGCTGCTGTTCTTCAGTTGCCCGATTATACGTTTCTGTAATATTCTGGGCTTGACTAGGTATGGTATCTACGCTAACTATACTGCCTGGTATATCATTTATGCCTCTGCCCATACCTGTTACTCCATTAAGAATAGCTTCCTGATTCTCCAAGGAACTTAAAATATCTAACACAGCTGTCCGAAAATCCTTGTACACCTCCGCGGGAGCTCTTTCGCCATTAACCTTAGACACACAGGAATAGGAATGAAATAAGTCAAAAATTGTTAATCACAAAATTCCAAGCTTACTTACCGCTATTAGCATATCGCTTTGATCGAAATAGTCAGCTACCGGCACAACATTTTTAAAAAAATTTTCCAATTCCATTTTTGCCAATGAAAGTACAACATGCCCTAACTTAGCGCCGTAATCTATTTGCTTCTGTAATACTGACTGCCGCCACGATATAATTATAACACCATTAACAACTTGAATCTGAAATACGTTGAACAGAAAAAACAGAAGTTTTAAATGTCCTCTTTCACAACAGTTTTAATTTGCTACTTATTATCACCAGAAAACTTATACTTTCAAAATAAAAAGAAAAAAACATTTTTTAAATTTCCATTTTTTTTATTTTTCATTTGTGAAGAAAGATAACTTTTTACTCTGAGAGTATACAGTTCAATTTAAGAAAAGTGTTTTGAAGGATTATCATATCTATGAAGAAATGTGATTGGATTAACTTCATATTTGAGAGCAGCTGTGTATGCAACTTTAAATTGGCTCTTTTGCGCCTTTTTTATACAAAAGATCATATGCAGACATTGTCATGCGTTCACATACAGCAATCGACGGAAATGAGTGTAATGTAGCATATGCCTCAATTTTATTACAAGAATTAAATTAAGTAAAAAAAATTATATTCGACCGTGACCTCTCTTTTATACCCATCGCCGTGAACCTAAAAAAAGTAAAAGAAGTAAATTGTCATACCTTATACCACACAGCAATAAACACTGAAAGCAAAGTTGTACGTGGAAGTGTAGACGTGCTGTAGTCGTATTCTTTGAAAAGTTTCGGTCATTTTCAAAATCTTTTGCAAGCTATATTTTCAATTTTGCGGATGGAAGAACGTTTATCGCAGTTACTGAATTGCGCAGACAAGCAGATGAACTGATGAACCGACTGACATGCGTTTAAAATTGGCTAAGATTTTATATACTTTGTAGGGTTTTTGAATCTTGCTTCTCAAGGTTTTGAAAAAAAAAGACTCACTGTAAAGTGAAGAAGGCGTGGCCAATTTTTAAGTTCTTGCAAAGATACTACAGCCTTGCACTGAAAATATAAGTTCAAATTTTTTAAATTGTGTGCTGTAGTTTATGATGATGATGGTATAATGAGCAAAAAGGCAACTTTTTATTCTTTTTGAAAAACAGACATACCCTTCGTAGTATCGAGTGCATGTCCTTCCATCAATTTGGCCTATTTTCAATACAAACCTGCATGCAAGAACTTCCAATGTTTCTGCCGAATCTGAGATTTTTGCAACCAAGAGAATATTTGCAAAGGGCTTTACACAAACAGGCGGACAGATAAGCAGACTGACAGGGGAATTCAGAATTTGATGTTGCTCTACAATATGTATATTTTGTGGGTCGTTGAAACTTCCTTTTGGACATTGCAAACGTTTTGACAAAATGAATATACTCCTTATCCTTTGGTGATGGGTATAATCACGAGATCTTATATTTCGCATTTGTACATTTAACATTGTCTGCTTTTTTTAAGTCGACGTTGTTAGATATATTCGAGATACTCCACCTCATTAATCCATGGATGTGACCACTTTATTTTGGCAAGTAGCTATTGCATAAACTCTTCCAGCTGAAATAAATGTAAAAGTTATTTTTAATGTAATCATGGACCAGAAAATCAAACATCTATTAAGAAAATGAATCTAAGTCGATCTGTAGAATAAAATGTATATAATAAATGCACCGAAAGTGGTTTGGGATATAAGAAGAGTAAGAAACATCGCTAGAATATATACAATCTGCATTGCATTATTTTTTTATGTTTCCAAAAACCAGCTTAACATTATTTGTAATAAGAAAATATATTACAGTTTGGTCTTAGCCATACGGTCAAGAAGCGATAAACATAAAATCCATATTAATGTGTACTTATATGCATGAAGTTATAATTCGCTTAAGAATTCTTTTTGATTTAAGGAAAATTGATACAGCTTTTTGTATAAACAAGTATGATTCATTCTCACTTACATAGTGAATATTACATTAACCTTGAAAATAAAAAAAAAAACAGAACGGACTGAAAATATTTGTTTATGTAGAGAGAACTGAATTCCTAGAGACACTATAGAATCTTCAATATACAAAATAGTAAAATTTCACGGACATTCGGCGTTTTTGTTATTAGCGCCGTTAATTAGAACCCATGGAACTCTTTGCTATTTTATTTTTGTTATTGGTATGAACAAGAATTCTTAAATGATTACAAAGCAAAAGCGTAAAGATTTTTGTATTTTTAAGTGAATATTCGCTATGGTATACATAAAAGTGTTTATTTTCAGAAAATCCCAAAAACTAAACACCAAACCCTATATGGTTTTGCTTCGTAATTATTTAATGCATAGTAACAGTTTAACGGAACTTTTTTCCTTTTGAAATAATAAGAATAAAAGAACATTGCTACTACTGTTATTAACAACGGAAACACCACAAGTTCCTGAGATTTTACTTGTTTTATTTTGTATTTTTGGATGGTGACTCTACGTATTTGGTTCTCTCTGATTCATTACTGGTTTATACTAACGTTCATTTTCTTACGATTATGAACGCTGTAAATGTACCTAGAGAAGACACAGAATTAATTAAACTCAGCATATGTGTTGCATACAACAGCATTGCGGCGAACATAGACTCAGAATTAATATACATTAGTATAATTCATGCCGCGTTATATGAAATCTCATATATAAGCGGTAAATTTAAATTAAGAAAGAAAGTACGTTATGGTTCGCTCATTTCTACAGATATTGCCTGATAGCTCGACATGGAAATAATCCATAAATGTCAATAACAAAATAAGAATTGATTGCTTCGAATGAATGCGGCCGTAGATGAGTTTTTCAAGCAATTTGGTTTCTTGGAATAGTCCTGCGCAAAAAGTGCATTGTGAAGAAGGGCGTTATAGGGGCTTTTCGCCAACTTTCGTTTTCCATTACAAAAATCGCGTTAAAAGACAATTGACTGTATTTAAATGTTATGCTTGTACACACATATATATTCTTATATTACATGGTGTTTTAATTTTATTGTAGATAGTAGAAAATGCCGATCGATGCTAATAAACTCAAGAAATTTATAACTGAGATTGTCTTTTTTTTCAATTGTCATCAAGGAAAAAACGCACACATGAAAAGTCAACAAGTAAGTGAAAATCTAATGTTCGTTTGTTCCTGGGATAGACCTTTTATTATGGTTTTTGTATCCAGTACAAAGAATTTTATTCTTTACACTTAAGCACTATACACGATGACTTCTTTTCGCTTATTTTGTGAACCACAAACTGTCAAAATAAAATGAGCATATGCGTGCTGTTGAGTATAGTATGCTTTGGATATTGTATTGAACTGAATTTTTGGCAAACTTTTAATATTATTTCTTGCTTCGCCACTAACGGACAAAACAGTGATGTATTTATAAAAACAAAGCAAAATGATGTGGTTAATGTTTCCGATAACAAAATGGTTATTCGTAATTTCATCTAAATAAAGAGAAAATTAAATCGAAGTAGACGATTGTATATTCCAAAAAAAATGTTCCACGCTTTATTATTTATCAACTATACTTTGCTGTGAAAAGTTACTTTCCAAAAAAATTTTTTAATCTTAGGCTTTATTAATTTTTATGTAAATTCTTATCACACGTTCAGTTTTTCAAGCTATATGAATTTGCTTTGGAAATTCAAAGCTGACTGTGTGACATATAGCCTAGATGGGTTGCTAAAGGAAAATATGATTAGTTTTTGATTATATAAACGTTAATGAAGAAGCGCAAAATTAATAAAGTGAAAAATTTTCCGTAAAGCAAAAGAAGAAAGAAAAGAAAAAATGCACGACAGGTCTTATTGTCTGCCAGATTATATTGATTCTGAACAAAATAGCATGGTAAAAGGTAAGATTATGGAGGAATGTAGAAATTTTGAAAATTGGTCAAAAATTTATGTTTACGTACATTACAACCCAACCTACAAATTTGCATTTATATACGCACTTTATTTTGATAATTCGTGAGGCATGCGCAGCATATAATGTAATTATTGTGAGTAGCGCTTTAATGAGTGATAGGAGTAGACAAGCTATTGTTCATAAATACATACCCCTCTACGAGCTGACATTGACTAGCGACTCTCGACTTTTGCAATTAGGCAAGTGTAAATATAGCTTGCCATTAAAATGTATTTATTCTTTTTTTGTTTGTTTTATATTTACGGCTTATATTTTGGTTTTATAATTTTCATGTAATTTGTAAACGTTTTGATATAAAAGAACTTGCTTGCACCAGTTTGGAAACTCTGGCTTCCCTTCAGTTGTCGAATAAATCTTGCGCCTTTTACTAAAGTTTTTCGTGGATAGGAGCACTCTGATGAGTCTAAATTGATTTTTTATATTTTTCTCGGATACCGCACATTTTATTGGCAAATCTAGTGGAAGTGAAATAATACAGATATTTTTGTTATTTGATTGTATGTCTATTAAGCTATCAAAAACAGGAAACGAAATTCGCATTCATTCTTTTAAAATTAAGTCACATTAGAAAAGCTTCAACTGGTTAATATAAAATGCAAAAGTTAAACCCAAAATTCAAAATTCGTTTTTCAGTTATTACATCTTATAAACTAATATTTTGTATATAGTCCCCTGTTCTTTATAATCGTTTGGTAAAGATTCGACTAATTTTTTGCAGTATTCAGATGGTATTTTTCCTCATTTTTGCTTTAAGACCTTTTCAGCTCTGCTTTACGGGAAACCGTATGTTCGTGAACCTGGCCGAAGTACTGTAGAAGAAGAGGCCACAACTACAACCGAGGGAGACGTGCGGAGAATGCAGCAACGACGGTGAAAAATTCGATGAAGAAAAAGGCGAAGATGATACAAGTATATCGATTGCTGCTCTTATACAATTCAAATACAACAAGCAGAACAACAAAAAATGAAAGAAAAAATAGTATTAAAAATGGGGAAACTTCAGGTAAGACAAGGCTTTCTAAAACAAAACATAAGTGAAGTGCATCACTACTTTAAAAGCAACGTTAACGTGCTCGAAGGGAAGATTGGCAATATGCTAAGCCAGATTGATGTCAGACTGCATGCCCTACACGAAAAAGTTACAAAAGTTATGAACCAGTTTGATACGAAGGTGGAAGCCTTCGAAGAAAAAATATGTGGAATTAAGCCAGTTTGCACTTCTAAACACACAAAATGCAATCGCGTGCAAATGTTACAATTATGACAAAGTTGGGCACTTTACTCGTGAATGTAAATTTTGGTGGAAGAAGGTCGCGCGTGCAACAGCAAAGCAGGAGAAGACCGTAAAGGTTCTGGGATGTAGAAAAATCGTGAAAAACGCATGCCTGAGAAACAGAAACCTAAACAAAATGTGGTCGTTTGCCGGACTATGGCAGAGACAAATGCAAAGTCATCGAAAAAGGGCACACGAAATCAGCAGCTGCCGATATTAAGGTGTTAATAGTTGGTAAAAAATGTGAAAATCCAACCAAGGAACAAATCGATAAGAAAAGCCACACGGCAATCACGTAATGGTCTTATTGGCGAAGCCTTATTTGTGAAAACGGACGTCTATAACGAATATTATACAGTAAAATCAGGTCACGACCTAAACGATTTACAAATAGAAATCAAATCGTAAGTGAGAAGTTGAGGGCCGGAAATAATCGGAAAGCGATGTTTGTTGAAGGAGACCTAGTGCAACTGTATAACTCATCGGGCAGTGACGGCTTGTCAGTGAAGTTGGAATCTAACTGCAAAGGACTGTATAAAGTTATCACCAAGATAACTGGGAGCGTCGATCGGATTCAGAAACATCCAAAAGGCAAACCTATATTTAAGCGCTACGCACACGTAAGTAGACTGATAGTCTTCGCAAGTAAACTCGTTCGAGACGAACAACATTAAGTGGAGGGTAGTGTCCAGAAAATGCCCTATTTGATGATTGAGCTTTCATGAGAAATGAATTTTGACTTTGGCAGTCTACGTTCCGTGTTCCTTCCCCTTTGCACCTCCCATGGAAAGCATGTCGTAACATAGAAGCAAAGGATAATTTTTTTTTGTGCAGTAAGGTATTTAGTAGCCGGCCATCTGCAACTACAATGTTTTTAAATGTTTAACTGACGCTGAAAGCGAGTGCAAAGAATTTAAGAGAAATAAACAAGCGAAGAGGTTCTTTCGTCTGTTTTGAATTTGGTTTTGATTTGCAAGTACAAAATAGATTAAATTCTATATAAAAATAGCTGGCAAAGCCAAACAATGAACCAACGTCGCCGTGATAAGAATAATCACTGTAAGCCTTTTGTGAGGCATTGTTTTTTTATCTCCAGTAAAGTGGTAAAAATTAATACAAACCGTCAAATTTTGTAGTTGTTATCGATTGCCATAAAAATGTAATTATTAATGTATTATTATTTATACCTCATTTTGTTATTTTTAATACCTTCTCAGAATATTCAACAACATCACGCATTGAACGTGGATATCCTGAAATTAAGTAGGCTTTGGCAGCTGGCGCCATTTTCATTTCCAACATTAGCACTTCTGTTACCGTTTTTGATGACAAATGTGAAAAGTCCTGCATATCTGATAGAGAATATTTTTTCGGTTAGCTGGTAACATTATGTTCAAGAAATTATTTAAGCAGTCTCGCTCTCACCGTTTCCTATTGCGTACTGTTGCAACAAATCCATCATATTAATGTGCGTTATACCGCGACGTTCTTGCATGAATGTATCACAGTGAGTCACTTTGCCACTACCGGGTCCGCCTAAAACAAATATCACTGGTACCTTGGGCGGATCGAATTTTATTTTTCCAACACCTTGCATATCGATAAGACTGACATTTGAAGAACCATACCGCGCATTCGTATTGTTTTGGTTCTGCGTACGATTCCATTCGTTGTCTGATTCGTTGCCGGTGTCTTGAGTTGCACTGGCATCTGAAAAGACGAATTCCATACGATTAAATAAAACATTGATAGGCTTATAATTTTTGCAAACGAAAAAAATTTTTAAAAATAACTATAGCTAAACTTGAACTCCAGCATCTAATAGCAAGTAAGTAATAAAAAATTCTTTCTATAGTTCGAATCCCACACAATATTGACTTTTAATTTGATAATAACGTTACATTTTTCTTTTTTTTCTTGTCCCTTAATATGTGTACGCTTCATGCTTAATATGTGGCAAAAAATTTATTATGTGAAAGAAATTTCAAGTTATTTTCTAAACGCTCTAAACATTGTCTGTGTCAAATCCTGAGAAGTTACAGCCCACTGTCTTCTGTGTTCATATCTAAGCTCTGTAATTCTTTCACAAATGTGCTTTTGTTCCTTTAAAAGCTTTTGCAAGTAAAAATATAGCTTTACTAGGTGAACGTTGAATGGATATGCGTGTGAGAGCCATTCGAAAGCAGGCAGTGCATTTGCCAACCTTTTTAAAGTATATAATAAATATTTTTTAATCGATAATAATTTTTTTGCTAATTTCTATATCATTTCGGTACACCTGGCTTTGGTATAGAAGAAGAATACATAAACTTGGGAGAAAAGTTATATTGCACACTAATGATAAAAATTGGCAAGAACTTCGGAATACAAAAGAAAAAAACTATAAAGCATATAACACATTTCAAAACTTTAGACGGTCTGCTTTACTTCTTATTTTCCCCTATACGGACACATAAGCAATTGAGAATGTTTCGACTGCGGTTCCGAAGGGTCAAGAAAAGTAATCAATGAAATGTTTCGATTGTTGCTGTAAGTGAATTGCATTACGAACGAAATTGATTGACCCTTTTTGGCTTCAAAACGTTTTGAATACTGCCGACGCCTATTTTTCTATAGGCATGTTTTCTTGGAATGGGTCTTTGAAATCATTGCTATTGGCAGAATGCAAGAGCCTTTCTTTCATCAGAAGAACGATGGTTTGTGAAGAGAGCCAAGAGGAGCGTTTGGCAGATTTCCAAGTTTTATTAATAACTTTAGAGACTCTACTTTGATTTTACATAAAAACGTCCCCATTTTTCACGAAAATAATACATTTTTTACATATTCAAATTTACGCCTCGTTTGAGAACTTACACTTTCATTGGCAAGAAACGAAGTATTAATGAACATTTCCCTTTTTATTGGACACAAGACGATATTCCTCTATAATCATGTTCCCACTTGGAACCAAATATGCCAGTCGCCGCTTGCAATAATACGTGCGTGATTATAGCAATTTATTTCCACAAATGTAATAAATAACTAAAAAATCTGTGTAAATTGAAAAGTCTCTGCGGTTTGAAATAGTACTTAATGGGGAGAAAGAATATTTTCAATTTTTATATAGTGGAAAGAAAAAGCATTGCTTTTGACCAGGATGTGAATTTTTGTAATTTATGGCGAATCAGAATAAATCATCTTACGATTCATAACGAGAATAAGTATCAAAAATTGACTTAAGCTTATTATAAAAATCGTTTAGAAAACGAAGCGTCTTATTTTAGAATGCTTTTCAAGTAAATTGGTATCAGAAAGTCCAAATCTTAAATGTTGCGATATTATAGCACTGTCAAGATATAAAAATGTTAATTTTCAGTTCACGTCATCATAGACGATGGTATAATCGGTAAAATTGTTTATTGGTTTAATATGGTTTGAAAACTAAAAATTGCAAGTTTCTACACAGGAGATAAAGGGCAATGGAAAATTGTCTTTGTGTGAAAACCCACGATCTTCAAACGTTTGAGCGCATAGCAATTGGTGAATTACCAAACCAAACAAAAAATTAATATAATACTATATTCAAAAAGTAAGACCAATATTCAAGTAGAATTGCAGGTGCAGAAAATTTTTTTCTAAATTGGGAGTACTGCGACAGACATCTGTGCCGTATTTTACATTACAGATCTCATTAGTATTTTTGCTGCGCTCGGTTTGGTACGACACAAAGGGTACATTTTCCGATCTTTACAATGTGTGATTTTGTTCAGCAAAGACGTTACATTTAAGTTTGTGTTCGAAATGAAATTTCTTGTGGAAAAACCTTAAAAGTGTTGCAGATAGCCATTGGCGAGTTGAATTTGTCGGAAAGAGACGTTTAAATATGGTATAAACTCTTCAAAGAAGGTCGAGAATGGATTGAAGACACAGCGTGTCCCGGACGGCCACCAACCTCCATCGGTAAAATCACGCCAAACAAATCAAAGATTCGGTGCTCAGAAACCGTCGATTAACAATTAAAGATCTCGTTGACGCTGATGCATTTCAAATGGATCAGACAATAAAATTTTAAAGAATATTTTGGATCAGAAGCGTGTCGAACCTCGATTCATATCGAAAACACTTAATTTGTTTGAAAAAGTGGGTCGTATTAAAATTTGTGAGGAGATGATATCTGACCATCGGCCGTTAGAGCCATGATTACAGAAGATGAGAATTGGCTCTACGCATATTACGCGAAAGCAATAGGTTAATCGAGCGAATATTGTTCAAAAAGTGATCGAAGGCCGAAAGAATTAATTCTTTTCGCTGGCCATACTGTTAAGAAGGAATATTATTTGAATGCTACGCGTCGTTTGCGTGAGGCAATGAAAAGCCTCAATTGTGGAAAGACTATTCTTAGCTTTTACATCACGATAATGCGGCATCTCACACTGCGTGGGTTCTTCGAGGCCATTTTATTAAAAACGCAACTCATATCGTCCCGCAACCATAGTGTTCACCTGATTTAGTCCCTTATGACATCCAGATATTTCCTAAACTCAAAAGACCGTCCCGCTCTCTAAAAGGCAAGCCGTTGGTCGATATATCGATACTACTGGCTGTCCGATTATACGATATTTTTCCCATAAATTAAAGAAAAACTTGATTTAATTAAAAGAATCTTTGTTGATTTCATTTTAAAAAGACATTCAGCTCGAAGGTTATAGGAAGACTGATTACAAAAATGCTTTTTTATCAACAAGAAACTTTAACAAAATAATGAACAAGAGGACAAAACGGATATTTTTAACAAAGTATAAAATTTAATAATTTAATCCAAACAACAACACATATGCTAAAATCTAATATACCAAATTCTCCAGAATCTCCAGCTCTCAACTTTACTCAACATATCACAAGTGGTAATGAATCCATTCTTTCATCCATTAATCAACTTTCGAAAACCAAAGCAACTGCAAATATTGAAAAAATTAAAACAACAACACATTTGCTAAAATCTAATATACCAAATTCTCCAGAATCTCTAGCTCTTAACTTTACTCAACAAATCACAAGTGTTAATGAATCCATTCTTTCATCCATTAATCAACCTTGAATTTCAAATTATTCACGGCGCCAACCCGTTGCGCTTCAAATGTACCAAATCACCTAAATACAGATTATTCTGCTGGTAAGAATAAATCATTCACGAAAAATTCCTATAGCGACCTTCTCGACGGAGACGCTGACATGCCAACTTAACCCTCCCTCCACTCTGCTTACATGTCATTACAATTAAATAAAGTTTTTAAAATTCTACAATGGAACATTAAGGGACTTATTAATAATTCTGATGAACTCCGTACACTCATAAGTGATTTTAATCCAACCTTTTTATCGCTTCAAGAAACCCATTGTAGAAGCTCTTTTAATCCTATTCCACCCAAATCATATACTGGATACTTCACGAATGCTGATCAAAATTCATATTCCAAACAAGGAGTAGGTGTTTTTATAAAATCAAGTATACCTCACAAACGCATAAATTTAAGCTCAAATATATCCGCCTGAGTAGCCGAAGGGGAGGAATCTCAACTAGCAAGTCAATGGTCGTGGGTTCGAATCTCAAGTGCGGTAGAGTTTTTAATAAAAAGCCGATAGCCTTAGATGCTAGTGATTTTAAGAGTTTAGTCTTAGAATTTATTTCTGTGGCGAAATTAATAATAATTATAATAAGCTCAAATATACAAGCCGTAGCGATACAAATAATGTTAAATATAAAATTTACAGTGCTTTCGCTCTATATTCCACCTTCGCAATCATTTTCTCAGCAAGAACTCTACAGTTTATTCTCCGTACATCCCCCCCCCATTAATTACATGCGGCGATTTCAACAGCTGGAATACCATCTGGGGCTCAACAGTGAACAACACTCGCGGTACTGTTTTAGAAAAGGCCTTTTTTCAAAGCAACCTTTGCGTTTTGAATGATGGAAAACCAACGCACTTCTCAACTCATCATACTTTTTCACATATTGATTTAACATGTTGCTCTCCATCACTTCTTCCTTTGGTGTCCTGGTCTATTTCTAATGATCTACATAATAGTGATCACTTTCCAATCATAATCGATCTTAAACTTTCAACGTTCTCTGCTACTCCAGCAAACCAGGCCAAACTCCTCCTAGATAAAGCGGATTGGATCAATTACTCCAAACAGGTGGAGTCATTTTTGAACTCAAAGCCATTTAACGAAAACTGCAACCATGATGCTGCTATTATGTCTAAAGCGATTCGCACGGCTGCTCATCTTTCAATTCCTCAATCCAACACCTGTTTTAAACGAGCTAGGGTTCCATGGTGGAACAACACGCTTTCGTTTTTGAGGAAAAATAAAATGGATCTATGGCACCACTTTAAAAGATGTCCTGATCAGAATCACTTGTTATTATACAAAAAGGCCAATGCTCTATTCAGGAAGGAATTACGGAAATCAAAGGCACTTAGTTTCGAACTTTTCTCGAGACGAATTCACAGAAATACATCAATGAAAGTTGTCTGGAACAAAATCAACAGACTTAATGGGACTTCAAACCTGAACCAAATTTCTGCCATCTGCACTCCCAATGGAACTTTAACTGACGCAGATGAGATTTCTAATTACTTTGGAAAGGTGTGGTGCGAATACTCCTCTGACAGCAACTTCTCCAGTGCTTTCATTGAAAATAAAAGGACTCCAATATCTCTTCC